AAAAAAAAAAAAAAAACCAAAAAAATAATATATGTACATACATACACACATGCTTTGATTTTTTTGAGAGAGTCTCAGTATGTTGCCCATGCTGGCCTACAACTCCTGGACTGGAGCAATCCTCCCGCCTCAGCCTCTTGGATAACTGAGAGGGTAGGCATGTGCCACCATACCTGACTCATACGCATACTTACTATTATTTTAATCTGTACAGTGTGTAGGGTAGAGAGTGTTTGCTTTTCATGTATGTCTTGCAAATGGAAAGCTAATGGTAGAGCACTTACCTAGGCATGCACAAGGCCCTGGGTTCAGTCCCCAGCAACTCCCTCTCCTTACTCAAACATGTCAGTTGAATGGTAGCAGATTATATTTACACTGAGTAGGAATAAAAGAAGACACCTCTACCCGGGCGTGGTGGCACGTAGTCCTAGGTACTTGGCAGGCTCGGGCAGGAGGATCATTTGAGCCCTGGAGTTCAAGGTCAGCCGGGGCAACATAGTGACACCCTGTCTCAAATACAAAAAAAAAAAGAGAAAGATGACCTCTGCTATGTAAGAATTACTGAAGTAATTTAAGGTTTTCTAGCTTAATTTAGGAAATCTTCAAACTTAACAGTAGAAAGTGGAGACTACTGTAACAATAGCCTTTATGTAGCAACTCTCAACTTCAGCAATTCCTATCTATATATCTTCTCCCTTTTCTCCCACCAAGATACAGTGGTGGTTTTTCTTTGGTACCAGGAGTCAAACTCAGGACCTTGCGCTTGCGCTTGCCAGGCAGGCGCTGTGCCCCTGACTATCCCTGGCAGGATACACTTATTTTGAAGTGGATCCCAGGAATCGGGTGTGAAGTTTTTAAGCTGTCTTCATGATCAGCCTGCCAGGAGGGAAATGGCATGCAGATATTCTGCAAGCTACTCATTCTGAATTTTGTATCTTTTAGACTTTATTGAGGATATTTAGATTATCATCTCTACTTGCCCTTTGTTTAGAATTTAAATGAAGAGACTCTTCTCAATTGCCCAATGAAACTGTGAGTTCACAATTCTCCACTAGATAAAATGAATGTTTAAAAAAAAATGAGTGTTTTGTTATGGTCATGTAATTGTTACATATGTGGGTATGAAAATACAAGTATGTACTAAAATGTGTAGATTTTGCTGTGCTTCTTTGACTGAGCTTTTGAGTAAATACCTCATAGGTATATTAGGAAATAAAAACTGAACCATCTACATTTTTGTAGGAGTTGGCACAAAAATTGACCCCACCTTGTGCCGAGCTGACAGAATGGTGGGGCAGGTCCTTGGTGCAGTTGGAGCTTTACCTGAGATATTCACGGAACTAGAAATTTCCTATTTCCTACTTAGACGGCTTCTAGGTGTACGCACTGAAGGTGACAAGAAAGCAGCAAAGGTGAGTGCTTTTTATATTTACCGTTTCCAAATAAGTGAGAATGAGTGATATTAAAACCAGTTTTGAGTCTTATTCTTTTATAGTTAACGTGGAATTCAGGTAAATCAGTTTGACTTCCTAAAAATTGAGAACAACTATATGGTACTTAGTTTAATCAAAACAAAACACAAGGGCCAGGGATTTAGCTCAGTGGCACAGCATCTGCCTGGCAAGTGTGAGGTGGTGAGTTTGATTCCTGGTACACACACACACAAAAAAAAAAAAAACCCACATGCACGCCTGTAATCCCAGTACTGGGGAGGCTGACGCAGGAGGACCATTGCGAGGTCGAGACCAGCCTGGGCTACAAAGTGAGCTCAAGGCCAGCCTGAACTGCATAGCGAGACCTTGTCTCAAAAAGGCAAAAAAAAAAAAAAAAAACCCACAAAAATACGGGAAATATTTGTGTCATATGTGATGTAAACATGATATTCCTAATGTCCATATGGACTTTTTTTTTTTCCATATGGGCTTTTAAAAAACATATTTTTTTGAGATAAGGTCTTACTTTGTAGTCCATGCTGGCCTCAAACTCATGACTCTCCTCCCTCAGCCTCCTGATTATAGGAGGATTAAAGGCTGTATGGGCTTTTTTAAAAAGTGTTTTGTAAGACTGTTTACAGAGACTGAAAATTGCTAGCTCCTAATGTTGACAAGGATGTGGAAAACAAACAGTCATTCTTCTTGGGAAAGTATAAATTGGTAGCACTTGGTTTGTTTTTGTTTTTGAGAGGGTCTTGCTTTGTAGTTTAGCCTGGGTTTGAACTGACTGTATTCCAGGCTGGCCTCTACCTTGCAGTGATTCTCCTGCCTCAGCCTCTCGAGTGTTGGGATTATGAGTATGCATCACCATGTCCAGTTGGTAGTGCTTGTTGAGAGAGAAATTTGGTATTTATCAACATTTTAAATTTACTGACACTTTGCTCTAGTGCACTTCACTCAGCACAAATAACCTGAAAAGTTAGGAGAAAGTAATACCTTACCCACATGCCTATAAAATTTCAGGTTTATCTTTTTTTTTTTTCAGAATTTCTTTATTACATATTATTTTTGTCTCATCAGACTTTTTAATAAAATAAAATTTCATAAATAATAAGGGAATAACAATAGCTATTACACTGTGTACTGTTACCTTCAAAGTAGTTACTCAGAGTACATGACTTAAACCAAGAAGATTCTTAGAAAAAAGAAACAATAATACAAAACTTTCTTTTCAGCAAACTAAGACAAACTGATAATATAAATGAATATGAAATCATTCAAACAGTGACCTGAATTTGGGCATTAGGCTATAAGTAGGCAAACAGCAGTGATGGGAATCGTAGCTGGTAATTCACTTAATCTTTGAAACCACCACGTATGGCAGGTGTTAGTTGATTTGACAGGACCTCGGGGAGCTTCAGTAACCAGCTTAGGGACATGGTGGACTTGGATCCCCAGCACCACCTTATTAACTCCCACACAGTCATCTCCCCTTGTAAAAATATCCGTACCTTATATCTTCTACAGGTTCAGCATCCCTTCTTGAATCTAGGGCCTTTGCACTGAGCTACATCCGTCTTTATTTTTTTTTTTAAACGCAGACTCCGTAAATTGCCCAGACTGGGCTTAAACTAATGGTCCTCAGCCTCTTGGACAGCTGGGATTATACACATGCACCCCTGCAACTGGTCAGTTAAGCATCATCCTTAATTCCTAAAGTCCAAGATGCCCCAAAATCCAAACTTTTTGGAGTACCAACATGAGGCTACAAGTGGAAAATTCCACCCCTGACCTCATGTGACAATGATAGTCAAAATACAGGTATACAGAAAGTGACATAACAAAAAAAAAAAAAATTAAAAGAGGCCTGAGGATATAGCTCAGCAGCACAGTGCCTGCCTGGCAAACACAAGGTTGTGAGTTCAGTTCCCAGTACCACAAATACATAAATAAAATGATGTAAAATTATTTTCAGGCTACATACATGAGATATATGGAAAACATAAGTGAGCCTGGTATGGTGGTGCACACCTGTAATCCCAGCACAGAGTTCAAGGCCAGCCTGAACTACATAAGCGAGACCCTGACTCAAAAAACAAAACAAAACAAAAAAATCTCATTCTATATATGCAATTTTTTGTGTGTGTGCCGGGAATTGAACTCAGGACCTTACACTTGCCAGGCAGGCACTTGTGCTATTGAGCTATACCCCCAACCCAGTATTTCAAAATCTAGAAAAACCCACAACTCTTCTGTTTTCAGGTATTCCCAATAAAGGCCGCTCAACTTGTGTACTGCTTCTTCAGAATTTTAAGAGGTTTTAATGCTATGGTCACTGGCTTATTTCTTTTGAAAGGCAGATCTTGTGTAGAATCAGTGAGTGCGAAGTAAATCTGCTTACCACCTCTAGACGATATATACGGTTCATGTCACATAATGAATTTTGTGGATGTTTTCCCTTTATGATTGACTTATTCCCACAAGTATATGCCAAACTCTTACTTTTTTTTGGCAAGCATTTTCTTTATTTCGGGATTTGTTTTTCCCCAATTCATTCCTTTAGGTCCAGAAGCTGTCGAAGAACGAAGTACTTATGGTCAACATAGGATCTCTGTCAACAGGAGGGAGAGTTAGCGCTGTCAAGGCTGATTTGGGCAAGATCGTCCTGACTAACCCTGTGTGCACAGAAGTGGGAGAGAAAATTGCCCTTAGCCGGAGAGTGGAGAAGCACTGGCGGTGAGTTTATCAGCCTTCCCCAGTGGGAAGGGTCAGTTTTCTTAAGTTCTTTGCGGCACACACAGCATACAGGCTTCTCAGAGCATGACAGTTAGTGTGGCTTCAACTCTCATCTATTTATTTGGAGAACTATTTTTAGCCTCAATGTGTAGTTCCATATTTTAGTCCAGATATAGCAGTTGACATCCTTTTCTCATAGACACAACCAACGAATTTAGGCTCAAGATTTCTGTTTCTTTGACCTTGCTTTTTGCTGCTGGGGATCGGACTCAGGGCCTTGCTCATGCAACTGTTTCATTTGTTCAATATTGAGCTATAGTCCTAGTCTGCCCTTGACCTTTTTTTAACTTTATTTGTAAATAACTTCATACTTTATAGGAAAACTGCAATAATTATACAAAAAACTCATGTGCTCTTCCTAGAGAAATACCCACATGCACATTTATTTACATAGAATCTTTTTCTGAATATCTCTAAAAAGCAAAGATACTCATAACCACTTTAAGAAATGTAACATTGGTGAAATTCTGAGCTCTGTTGTTCAGATTCCCATTTTCCCATCTGTCCCATTGGAGCCCTTTATGGCCCTCTAGTGTAGAATCATGTGTTGCATTTAAGTTCCATGTCTCTTTGACTTCTAATCTGGAACTTTTGCAGCCTTTTTGCAGGTTTTTGCGGGGGTGGGGTACTAGAAAGCGCACCCAGGGCCTTTCGCTTGCCAGGCAGGCGCTCTGCTACTGAGCCACATCCCCTTTTTAAAAAATGACTGCCAATTTTGAAGAATATAAGCAAGTTATTTATGGACTGTTCTGAAACTTGTGTTTATCTAATGGTTTGAAAAGCTAAGATTGGGTTTAGGTTATATATACCTGGTTCCTTGTTCAGGATCACAGCTGGGACCACAGGATAGCTTACTGCTCTTCCTTACTGAGGTTCATTTTGATCATGTGGTCAAGATATTGTCTAGTTTCTATGCTACGTAGTCACTCTTTTCATGCTGGCAACTAATAAGAAATCGGTGGAGAGACTTTTTGTTTTTGTTGTTTTTTGAGACAGGATCTCACTATGTAATTCAGGCTGGACTTGAACTTGCAGTGATTCTCCTGCGTCAGCCTCCCAAGTGCTGCAATTACAGTTGTGCGCCACCATGCCTGGCTGTGTGGACTTTTTGAACCTCTGCAAATAGCTTGTTTTTTAATCAGTACTGGGGATTGAGCTCAGACCCTAGAGCATGATAGGCATTTTTGAATCAGGTTCTCACTCTAGGCTGGCCTGGAACACCCTCTGTAGCCCAGGCTGGGCTCAAAATCATGATCATCCTGCTTCAGCCTCCCAAGTGCTAGGGTTACAGGTAGGTGTTTGGCGCTATGTCTGGCTTTTTTTTTTTTTTGTCTTTTTGATACAGGGTCTCGCTATGCAGTTCAGGCTGGCCTTCAGCTCACTTTGTAGCCCAGGCTGGTCTTGAACTCACAACGATCCTCTTGCTTCAGCCTCCCGAGTGCTGGGATTACAGGCGTGTGCCACCACACCCAGCATCTGGCTTTTATTTTGATGAGCAGGTTTTAGGCTGCTTCCTGTGTCCCTTGACATGTCTCTGGCCTTTTTTTTTTTAAACACATCTTTGTTTTCTGGCCCAGGATGTTCCAGGCTCCTACCTTCCCTGCTTGTATTAAAATTGGTCATTTCTCTAAGGAGCACTGGTTACCTTTACTAGGACATGTTACCTAGAAGTGGAGATCTGTGTGCTAGGTGTACTCGTTGCTCCTAAGGTGCTATTGCTTCTAGGTCCTCTGAATGACTAGAGGTAGGAAATAGAAATGTGTCTTTGGTTTCTACCACCTTTTTTTCTTTCTCAAGTTGGTACTGAGGGCCAGGGATGTAGCTCAGTGGTATAAGCGCTTGCCTGGCAAGCCTGAGGTCATGAGTTTGATTCCCGGTACCAAAAAAAAAAAGTTGGTATTGAGTCTGCCTTTTCCTTTCTGTTCTGTGTAACCTCAGTCTCTACCACCATCATTTCCCACTTGAGTTATTATAAAAGAGTCCTACTTTGTCTCATTCTTTGTTATTTAAAACTCAGTCAAACATAACCTTCCTGAACACTTTGATCATGCTGTGCTGAATAATTCCTGTTAGCTCGTCATTCATGTTGGATATTCAGGACCTTTCTTTCTGGAGGCCTGCTTCACCTGCTTACCCTCCCTCCTGCTTTGTCTCATCTATACACTCTAAATCTCACTGTCTTCTATTCTGGTTCTCCCCATAATTATTTCTGTCACTGTTGGCTCTCTGTTCTGGAAGAGTTAAACTTTTTGTTGTCTCTTTAGTAAATTTGCTCTGTGGTACTTTATGCCCTTTTGATTCCATTCTTTTGTGCTTGTGCATTTGCTATTATAGATGTACTGACTTCCAGTATATTTTAAAACAGATAAATAAGAAAGTAAAAAAATTCAGCATACAAATAATAGTGCTTGTTTAAATGCTACATTTCATAGAGTAGAACTGATTTTAAGAGAAAGGATCTTTTTTGATGTTCCTACAAATACTATAAGAGGACTCTACCCAAATGAAAACTTGCAAATTTTGCTTCAAAATTAGCAAGTATGCTGAAGTCCTAAAGAAAAACAAAGTGAGCATCTAAATGATCCTTACATTCAATAGAATTGTGGCTTTTACCCATGTTTAGGTGGGCTTTGTTCTGGAAACTCCAGTTGAGGTAGCAGTGTCCAACCTGGTGGTTGCCTAGGACACACAGAGAAGAGGGGAGAGAAAACAGCTAGACTGATGTGGTTTGTGCCCTGGCACACTCTGGACTGAGTGTGGATTGAGGGCTCTTACGTGGATCAAAAAGGGTAGGTACGTTTTGATAGAGTAAAGGTGAGGACGTTCATGGTGGAATCTTTGTTTGCTTTTCCTGCCATGCTGGTGGAGCCCACCTGCCTGGTTGTTAGAATCTGGGGGAATAGCATGTTTTCTTTGTGGAGAGGTGGACTCTAGGGACATGTGTGCATTTACAAGATGAGCAAGTAAAATCAATGTATCAGATAGTGGTATAGTCATGATAACGAAGTGGATATAAAATTCATGACTCCTATTTTCATTTTGCAGTTTAATTGGTTGGGGTCAGATAAGAAGAGGAGTGACAATCAAGCCAACCATAGATGATGACTGAAGAGTCCAATAATACATCTGGATGCAGCTGGAATTTTCTGAATAACCTAGGGGTATATTTTCAAAGCAATACTAGGGAAATAATTTCACAGTTCATTACCTTAGTAGATATCTGTAAGGTTACTCATTTTTGGGTGATGAAAAATCTAACCTCTAGTACTAATGTGAGGTCTACAATAAATGAAAAAGTTGGTTTAATGTTGCATTGAATCTACATTTTAGCAAAAGTTAAGCATTTCCAAATCAGGTCTAATTTATACACTGAAACAGGTTTGAAATGCAATTGCTACAACCAGCCTTCTCTGTAGCACACATGCCACTGAACCTATCTGAAATAAAGTTCTTCTTCTTTTTCATGATTCATCTTTGAATAGCTCTAGGCTAAAGGACTGTTAATGCCAGTAAAAGCTGGAAGACATAAATTCTCCTTAAAAACCAGGTCCTCTTTGTTAGACCTCATATTTTATGTTGCTTTTTAAAAGCTTTTTAAAAATTTTTTTATTAGTACATGTTTATAGTACATAATAATGACATTCATCTTAACTCTTCCTTCTCCTTCCCTGTCTCCCCCTATGTTACTTTATCCTTGAAATTTTCAGTGAAAAAGAAATTTGGTTCACATGAAATTGCCCTCTAGGAAATGAATGCTTGTCCCACGGACAAACCTTGCCCCTAGTCTTTTGGACTGAGACATAGGAAACCCGAGCCGGAAGTTCTCACTCTCTCCCTGTGGTGCCCTGCAATTATTTCTGCATTGATTTACACCTGAAACCTGATAGTCTTGCCCTGTTGGAAAATGTGTTGTAGCAAATGATTGTGGACAGCTAAAAAAGCTCTCTCCAGGCTTTTTTTCCTTCGTGGTTGGTTTGCTTAATGTTGTGTTTTTTGTGGTGCTGGGGAACCAACGCAGGGCCTCAGGCATGTTAGGCAAGCACTCTAGCATTGAGCTTCCCTCTACCCCAAGTCTTGTTTTTTCTTAACTGTGTACTTGCTAGGATTATGATATAGATTCTAATAGTGATCTTTGAACCTTGCGAAAGGTCAAGAGTAAAAGATGTCAGAAAACAAAGGCTGAGTCCTTTCGATTCTTTTTTTTAAATAAACCTTTCTACCTGTACTTCTATTTATGTCTTTGCTTCATAAGAGATTCTTTTAGAGCAATGACTCCTAACTGGCTGATGTTAGAGTTGCTAGGTAACCCTTTTTAAAAAGATGCCCCCACAGGTTTTGATCTAAATTGGCTTGGGGTAGAAGCTGGTGCAATGATATTTTTTAAAACTATAAGTTTAGCTGGGCATAGTGGCGCATGCCTGTAATCCCAGCACTTGGGAGGCTGAGGCAGGAGGATTGTTGTGAGTTCGAGGCCAACCTGGGCTACAAAGTGAGACCAAGGCCAGCCTGAACTGCATAGCGAGACCCTGTCTCAAAACGACCAAAACACCACAAAACTGTAAGTTTAGAAAGTTAAGATGTAGGCATATTAAATAATAGTATTTCACTGAGTTTTGGTGGTCTGATAATAGTTTAGTTTGCTTTTCTTAAAACTGTTGAGATGGATTGCATGCCACAGTCATGTACTGTTCTCTTGGATGCTGAAACTGCCTTGTAGAAATCTATAAGCTGTGGCTTTAGGTCATTATTTAAGTTTCTAAGTCTTAAGGAAGCATATTAATGTAATATTCTTGATTGAAGGGTTGTATTGTAGTATGAGGACCACAAATAAAAGTTCTACATCAAATATTAATTTCATATCTAATATGTCCTCATGTGTTTTGTAATCATTTTCTACCAGAAATTCTGCAATAAAACCCAAAATCTTGACTAATTTATCATTGACCTCAGAATTGAAACCAGAAATTTTTTGTAATTAAATACACACATAAATTTCACCAGCTTGGCAAAGCACGGTGCTTAGTGTGATGGGTTATACAGATAGGAAAACTTTGGCCCTTGTTGTAGAACTTGAAATCTGCTCACTGACTTCCAGCCAGCGGTGCACCTGGTCAAGGCTCTGCAGGTCATGCAGTCTCACTGAGGAAGGTACATTCCATATGCAGGGCCTCTTAGGTGTAGTGTCAAGATGTTTTCAAAATCTGACGGGTTGTCATCACCTTGCTACCACCCCAGTCAAAGCCACTGGTGGGCCCAGGCATGGTGGTGCGTGCCTGTACTCCCAGCTACTTAGGAGGGTGAGGTAGGAGGCTTTCTCATTTGAGCCCAACCTGGGCAACTTAGCGACTTAGTGTGATCCTATTGAGAGAGAAGAGAAAGGAAAAAAGAAAGAAAAAGGGCTTGGGATCTAGTTGGGTTCCGTCCTCAGTACTGGGGTGGGAGGCACTAAGGGTCTCACCCAGAAGAGCCCCAAGCTCCTGCCTGCTTTTGTGCTTGCCCACTTGGTCTGTCCTCAGTGCACCAGCCAGTGAGCCTTTCAGCAAGAATGCTTGTACAACTCTGTGATGAGCAGTCATAAAGGTAGTCACAGCTGTGAAGTGATCCGAGGGATTCCAGGGCGTCCTGCAAAGCTCCCCTTTCCATTCTGCTCGTGTGCAACTTAAAAGGTGATATGTGGTAGGTGTGCCTGTTTTTGAAAAAGAAAAAAGAAAAACTAATACGTTTGTAGATGGCTGGGTTCATAAAACTTCTCTTATTTTTTTTTTTTTTTTTGGTTTTTCTCCGGTACTGGGAACCGAACTCACGACCTTGCGCTTGCCAGGCAGGCGCTTTGCCGCTGAGCTAAATCCCCAGCCCCATAAAACTTCTTTTATTTTATTTTATTTTTTGCGGGGGCGGGGTAGTTTTCCTGTACTGGGAACTGAACTCACAACCTTGCGCTCGCCAGGCAGGCGCTGTGCCACTGAGCTAAATCCCCAGCCCCTGGGTTCATAAAACCTCTGAAATTTCATTTGTAGAAAAACTTGATAATGGCGATTCTAATGAAATTGTTGCTTTTCTGAAAGTGCAGTTTTTTTCTTTTGTGTATTGAGGATGGAACCCAGGATCACGCATGTGCTAGGCAAGGAGTCTGCCTCTACACCTGATTCCATAAAAATTTTAAAAATTTCCAAGGTCAAAGCAGATACCCTTTACACAATTGATACTCACAAGACTAAGAAGATTATTGAAAAATGATCTCTGTAAATACCTACACAGTCTTACAATATATATTCTGCCAAATTTCTTTTTTAATTCTATGGTACTGGAAATTGAACCCAGAACCTTTGCACTGAGCTGTATCCCTAGCGCCCCTCCCCCAAATTTTGAGACATGGTCTTCCTAAATTGCCCGGGCTGTGCTTGAACTTGCAGTCCTCTACCTCAGCTCCCTGAGCTACTTCCTTCCTTCCTTCGTGTATTTTTTTATTCGTACATTGAAGCTATACATAATAACATTCAGCATAGAGAATTTGTACCTGTACGTGATATATCTTGCTGCTGCTTTCTTTCCCATTCCCCTCCCAGTCCTCGCAACCCTTCTTCCCCTCCTTATTTACAAAAGCTTTGTTTGCATTTTTTCCTTCTATTTTTTCTTCTTTTTCAAGGACGATAATCCTGTCCTTTCTCTATTCCTTCCCTCCTGTCCCTTTGTTCCCTTCCTACCCTGAGAATTGCACTAAGCTGCAATTGGCAGCTGTTAAAATTGCCCAGGCTGGACTTAAACTTGTGGCCCTTCTACTGCAGCCTCCCAGAGTGCTGGGATTACAGGCCTGTACCACCATGCCTGGTTCCTGTGTTACTTAACCTATTCCAGAATAGAGGGAAAGAGAGAGAGAGAATAATAGATTTCCAAACTCATTCAAGATTACTACATTTTTGGTACCTAAACCTGGAACAAATACTACCAAAAAAAACCAAAGAGGGCTGGTGAGGGCGCAGCTCAGTGATGTCCTGCACTTAGCATGTGTGTGGCCCTGGCTGTGCTCTCCAGCACCACCAAAGCAAAACCGCCCATGAGCATTAGGGTTACAGGGGTGTGCCACCATACCCCAATGCTGGGTGTTTTTTGTTTTTTTTTTTTTTTTGGTACCAGGAATCAAACTCATGACCTCAGCCTTGCCAGGCAAGCGCTTATGCCACTGAGCTACATCCCCGGCAGATGTTGGGTATTTTATCCCAGTCAGGGGAAAATGACTAATACATCTTAATAGAACCAAACAGCCTCTTTAAAGAATGTACCAGTTTACCTTTCTCATCAGTAATCTATCTCGCCAACGCTCATTATAAAGCTTCAATTTTTGCTGAGGGTTGAACTCAGTGCCCCTGCTGGTAGTTAAGCACTCTACCACAGAGCTACATACCAGCACCACCCCACAGCCCCTGCCTCTACTCCCAACACTGGGGACTGAACCAGGGGCTTCACACTGAGCTACATCCTCCGCTCTGTTGTTTTTGAGACAGGGTCTTGCTGAGTCACCAAACACATCACTGCAGATCAAGCAAGAAGCTGCCTTGTCAAAGTCACTGGTGGCAAGGGGCTGGGGATTTAGCTCAGCGGCAAAAGTGCCTTCCTGGCAAGCGCAAGGTCGTGAGTTCGGTTCCCGGTACCAGAGAAAAACCAAAAAAAAAAAAAAAAAAAAAGTCACTGGTGGCAGCACAATGCTCTATGAAATCTGGGGCGCAAAAAAAACTCTATGGGGTCGGGCATGGTGGCACACGCCTGTAATACTAGTCCTCACTCAGGAGGCTGAGGCAGGAGGATCCTCCAAAGCCAGCCTGGGCTACACAGTGAGTTCAAGGCCAGCCTGGGCTACATAGCAAGACCATGTGTTAAAAAACCAAACCCAAAGCCGGGCGTGGTGGTGCACGCCTGTAATCCCAGCACTCGGGAGGCTGAGGCAGGAGGATTGTTCCAAGTTTGAGACCAGCCTGGGCTACAAAGTGAGCTCAAGGCCAGCCTGAAGTGCATAGTGAGACCCTGTCTCAAAAAAACAAAATAACCACAAAATACCCAATGCCCAAAATTTAAAGGAGAACTTTATTTTAGCTCATGGTTTTCAAAGAATTTAATTTATGTTCACAATGCTGGGATTCCATCTTACTCCAGAAAGAATGGCTATTACTGAGAAATCAACCAATAGCAAATGCTGGAGGGGCTGTGAGGAAAAGGAACCCTTCTCCACTGCTGGTGGGAGTGTAGAGTGGTGCAGCCACTGTGGAGATCAGTGTGAAGATTCCTCAGAAAACTAGGACTAGAGGTCCCCTTTGACCCAGCTATTCCCCTTCTTGGTATCTTCTCAAGAGAATTAAAAGCATCATACCACAGTGATATATGCACACCTATGTTTATAGTGGCACAGTTTGTAATAGCTACATCCTGGAAACAATCCAAATGGCCATCAGCTGAGGAATGGATAAAGAAGGTG